GTGCTAAATGTGAGATGAGGTGTTGATGGTGCTTCTCCCTGCAGGTGAATGTGAGGACACCACCCAGTACTGCAGTGTGGTGAGGAGGCTGAGGCTGTGCCATGTGGACACGTACAAACAGAGATGCTGCAGCTCATGCCTGCGTGGCGTTGACTCCACCTAGTGGCGGTGGAAGGTTATAACCGCACGCGCACACACACGCACACACACGCACACACAGATGGGCGGGAGCCTGAGCAAAGACTGAGACGGACAGCCCGTGAGTGGACGCCGACCCCAACGAGCTTCAGCGTGAGTCTTTCACAAACTGAAAGGAAACCTGACGACAGGACGAGCGGGCTTCACTTTCTGATCTGGACTAAACTGTAACATGAAGACAAGTGTTCACTATGTGGATCAAATAAAGTTTCTGATTTTCCTACACAGATAGCTAGTTTCAGTGAGATTTAAACAAGCGTCTTTTCTTGTCAACGAGACGTCGCTGCCAGCAGCACGTGACGCTTTTCTGTCTCTGATCTCTTTATTTATTTGTGCAATTCTTCAAAAATGTTTTTATAAAACGACACAGTTAAAAACAGAAGTTCCAGTTTGTTACAGCTCGGGTCGTTTCTGCTCCCCGACGTCGTTTCTGTGAACGTTAATGAAGCCGGACGAGCGAGAGACGAGGGTCAAAACTGACTCGGCTGCTAAGAAACTGGAGCCGTCCTTTAATCGGGTCCTGCCGTTACACCGGTGTCGCCGTGCTTCAGCTGCTCATTCCTTCACTGTGGATCCAGAGTTTCCCAGGCGTTTCCATCCGGATGAGTTCAACTGACACTGAATTCTTGTTTTCTTTGAACATGAAATAATTTTAAAGCGTTGCCTTTAAAATCCTGCACTTGTTTCTGGGATGAGCTTCAGCGCTGGGTTTGATTTCTGTACTGATCTAAGCTGTGGTTCAGTCTTTACTTATTACAACATTATTTTTAAAGAAGTCGATTCAGTCCAACAGAAATGTCTCCGTAAGTGAGCCGAGATGTAGGAAAATAAAGTTAAATAAGACAAATTATGAAGCCTTACTGAAAGTATCGTCTTTATGATTTACCAGTAAAATATAACAAAATTAAAAAGTAATGAAAAAAGCTGCTTGAAATAAAATAAATATTCACTGATGTGTCAGCACAAATAAAACACGACATGAAATCCAGACTATAAAAAGTAAATAAACAGATTTTTAATTCAGTTTTATTTATTTTTATGGACCCAAATCACAACAACAGTCTGAAGGT